TTAATTTTTTTTTATAAATATATTTTATAAATCTTCAAATATTAAATATATTTATTTAATTACAAATTAATATGTAAAATTTTGTGTAATTATATTTTAATTCAAATGTATCAAGTTGGTATATCATGCTTAATAAGATAACCAATACCTATATTTATTTAATTATCTTATATTCATTTACCTTGTATCTGTTGCTCTTCCGAATTAGATAGTGATCCATTATTTATTGGATTCAGTATTATTTAGATATCTGATTCGCAATTCTACATAGTAGAAATTTGTATTAAGTTAATTGTACTTATCTCTTACGTATTTATATATATAATTATTGTATAGAGAGATTAGACTGTATTTATTTTTAAATGTGTTTGTTCATTAAGAATTTTATTTACATTGTCTCAATCTAAATCATTAGGAAATCTATTCAATAAATTTTTATCTATTTTACATTTTAAGTTTTAAAAACAAGTAAAATCTATATATTTTATTTATAAAAATTAATTCATCTTATTTAATCTCTTTCAAATAATCTTCTCCTTTTTCTATTGTCACAGGTTAATAAGTGGAAGCAAATGGAAAAATGTGATGAATTGTCTCTTCAAATTCACTGCTATCACATAATGTTATTCAAAAGGATGAATGAGGTAGTTTATGATTTGGCACAGGTTAAAACAGCTTTTGAGCACATTACTAGATAAGGACAGTGTCTTTAAAAGAGTATTTATTAATTAGGAGGTTAAAGAGATTTTTATTAACAAGTTTTTATTTATTATGTAGAACACATACTTCAATTTCTAACTATATGATCTCACCTTTTATAAGAGAAAACCCAACCTGTGTTGATAAAAAAACTATTGAAAAAAAAGAAAGGGAACTCGAATGCTTCTAATAGAACTTTAACACCTTTTTTCTTTTTTTCTACAATCCAGGCATCATTTTAATAGTAATTTTACATTGGGTTTCACTCCTTCAATGATGACAACCTACTTATCATGCGACGATGACTATATATATTTTCTGTTAAGATAATATTATCTTGACAGATGTCAAGCTATATCAGATAAGTGCTTCTTGTTAATAGAATCTATAACATTCGATGAGGCTTGGCTTTTGCACTCAACTGCAACACCAATGGTTTTACTTAATTTTTATTTTAACCAAACTATTATCAAAAACTTTTTTTTTATCAATATATGTAGTCATATTAATATTGGTTTGTTTTTTTAAAAAAAATAAATAAATAAATAAATTGTATATTTATTAAACAAAAATAAAAAAAAATTACATACAGATCTAAAAGATCAATGTAGTAATAAAAACTTTCTTTTATATTTTCTTTAATTATTATTCTGTTAACAATATATTTAATTGAGTTCCAAATTGAGTTAAAACTATTAACAAGAGTAAAAGAATCAGATAGGATTTTTGCCTATAACTGAGACTTATAATAGTTTTCAAAAGAATGACCACCAGGACAAACTGGAGAAAAATAAAATACATTTGTCATTATCATCTACTTTGATATAAAACTTCGTTTTTGATTTTATTGTTGAAAAAAAGGTAATAAAAAATATTTATTAGATAATGAAATCATTAATACATATTAGTTTATGTTTAAAAAAAATTTTTTTATAAATATTTATTTTGAACGGATTATATTATATAATGTTGCAGGTAAAATTATAGTAATTGGTGGAAGGGTTGACACAGGAGCTGAAATTGGCATAAAAGTTGCTGTAGAGGTTGATACAGAAACTAAGGTTAGCAAAGTTGGTGAGGTTAACTAAATAAAAACAAAAAAAAATTTACTAATAAATAAACAATTACCGTATTTTTTGTGAACAGGTATCCAATAATTGAAAAACTTGTTGGCTTTTACAATCGTAACGAAATGAAAATGCCTCCGTATAGTCAGTTTCGAAAAACCATCCATAGCTAAATATATATAGAAAAAAAATTAGTAAATATCATATTATGTCATATTTGTATCATATTTGTATCATATCATATCATACCTTTCACGTTTATGTTAAATAAAAGTTTGTGTCTTCATGTCCAAGATCTATTTATATATATATCATATTTTATGTAAACAAAAATTTTTTCATCTGATTGGCTTATATAGATCACGCAGACCAGAGGTAATCTATTCTATCAACTAATGTATACCTTACTATTAACTTCCAGAATCTGATTATCTACGATATTGACGTAACTTTACCGGGGCCTTGGGCAAATAAATTAGGAAAACGTATATTTACTACATATATCCATTGCTTATGGTAGATATTATGAAGGTCGAAAATTATTTAACAGTTTATGGTACGTGCAAATATTTCAAAAACCTATTGTCATGTTAATAAGGGTAAAAAAACAAGTTTATATCGTGACATTATAAATTATAGTACTCTATCAAGAAAGAACTGTGTTGCAGAAAATTCAAAGAAAGTTCGTGAAGAAAGAATAACATACATCAAACTCATGTTGTTGCCACCTAACATCATCTTCGTTTGGAATTTGGCACTAATTATAAAGATTACGAAGGTTTGTTATCTTCATTATCAAATGGTCAAGAGAATACAGATCACTTTATTGATATCGTAGGCAGTCTTGAAAGGATTAGTAACACACCCATTCCCTTAGCTTACAGAGTTCATTTGTAAGCAATTTTGGTTCTTCTATTAATGTAATTTCATCCCTTTAATTAATATCTTTATTATTCATTAATATCTTTATTATTCATTATTTAGGAAGCAAGTTGTGACTTCGTAAGTTATTATTATTATTATTACAGTCAGACCTCTCTATAGTCACCTCCTCTATAGTCACATTAACTTATAATCACATAAATTTTTAAAACCAACTTATATAACACTCATAAAATTTAGCCTCCATATAGGCACAAACTCTCTATAAGCACAAAATTCTTAAAACCAAGGGTGTGATTATAGAGAGGTTTGACTGTATTATTTTATTTTATTTTTTTATAGGCTCAAATCTTTTCACGATACTAATCGTTACGCTTTTTGTCTAATGGTAGGTATGTTTGGTTACTTCCAGTCAGTCTTGTCGATATACTTGGATGGTTAACTATTCCAGTTATCTTTGTAATATCTTTTATTCTTTTTGGTGTTGAAGCAATCGGAGAGTAGATTAAATATTGTCTTTTATCTTTGTCATGTATGGTTTTGACGTAATATTTCATGTGAATAGGTTCAGAAATTAAGGATCCATTTGGTAAGTTATATAAGATTTCATACACGCACTTGAGTTAGTGTTTCAAGTGAATTCGAAACATTTTGGACTTTACTATATATTTGAGAGTTAAATCGAAATTACAGTAGAACCAATGCAATTTTCCTTATTGTTCTCTAAACACAAGTTGTTAAACTTTGGTCAATATATATTAGCTGCATTTAGCTATATCTCTCTAGCAAATTATTTATTAATAGCAATATTTTAAACTTTAAAAGTAGTTTGGCCAAAAACACTAATTTAAGTCTTCCAGATACATATTTATAAAACTATTTATGAAATAAATAATTAAAGACCAAAATTAAGCCTCTGAATTAGATCTTGCATTAAGTAGTGATTCTAGGTAATTTCTACTTCATGTTTTTTGTATGGATGCTTGATTAATATTAAAATTTTGTTTATGGTTTAAATCATGGCTTAGGTTATGGTTTAAGCCATGGTCAAGCTATGGTTTAAGCAATGGTTAAGCTATGGTTTAAACCATGGTTATGCTATGGTTTAAACCATGGTTGAAGCTTAAAGTCATGATTTTTGGTTCGATATCGTTAAACTGGTCAAATTTGTTGGTCGCATTTTTTTAAGCGATTAAAATTTCTCATAATTACATTTCATTTGAAATTTATGACCATGTGGCCACGACCATACATTTTTAATGCCTGTAGATCTCCCACAAAGAATTAATCAAAATTTTCCCCTAACGTGACTTAACCCTAACCCTAGTTATCCAATTTGAATGATCTTGTTTTTTTTTTTTTTTTTTTGTGGAGCTAGATAAGCTCCACAAAATAATAAAAAAAAAAAAAAAATTCATTCGAATTGGATGACTAGATGGACGGTATATGTAATTTTATTTTATTCACGAAATCAACATAGCCTCGGAGGTCATTTTCCTAGCAAAGATCCCATTTCATTACACCTGACCTTTCAATCTAATTGGATAAAAATCACGAGGGAAGAGAAAATTTTTTGTGCGAGAGCTACCAATTATTGCATTTTTTCCGTTAGCATTATTAAATTAGTGTGCAACTGTTATTATTAAATGATTTTCTGTAATCATGTAAAAGTAGGCACTTCGGCTGTATATAAAATGAAAAAAAACAAATAAATAAATAAAATAAAATCTTATTTATTTGTCCGTAAGGACAACTTTATTATTTTATATACTGAAGATAACCAAGACCATTGCGGCAAATAGTTTAGCAGTATACAAGAACAGAGATACCAATTCATGGTAAATAAACATATGCTGAAGCGTAGCTAACACTGCTATCATCTCCACGAGTAACTTGACTTGATTGTGAATAATGAACAAATCTAATCCTTGGTTTTGTAGTATCAAAAGGTAGATCGGGCTTTTCTCCACCTTCCGTAATAGTTTTTTCTTGACTATTTTGCCATGCATCGATCGTGCTTAAAAATACTCCAATAGGATGTCTTCCACATATAGTATTCTTTGTTTTAGAAAGATATGTGTGAAATTCTTCATGATTCATCTCTTCGATAATGGTCATCCCTTCACGGTCGAGATTCTCGATAGACTTATATATCGGAATTGATAGAGGTGTATTAGATTTACGTGAGAGATAAGTACTTGTGTTGACTGAATCAGAATAATAGGTATATGAAAATCGCTGGCCCCTGTGGGTAAGATTAATTATAACAAATGTTACATATTAAATTACGCAATTCTTTTTTTGACTGAAAACACATAATATCTTACCAATGACAAAAATCTGATGAGATAACGAATAAATTTGATGGATCGGAAAGGTAAGAACTAAGAATTTTTCCGTATAAATGTTCTTTGGATTCTGATAACGAGCCAACCATGATTGGCACGATCTTGATAGAATTAATCTTGCTATAAAACATAAATAAAATAAGCTCTTTAAGAATAAAGATATGACTATGCTTAAATTATGAACTTATACTACCTTTCCAAAATCTTATAAACATATGGAAGATGCATCTCAATACTATGTTCTTCTTCATCAACGATAAGTGACATTTCATCAAAGTAACCAGTTTGCCGCAATTCATTAATAACTACAAAAAAAAAAAATTTACATTGATTATATGAAATGAAACCAATAAAATATCAAATAAATGAATACCTTCAGTATCCAAAAGCAGTTCTCCCAAAGGCGTTTCATACTCGGTGCATTGTGAAATGGCACATTTTGTAAGGTATACATGGTGAGAAGGGCCGAGAATGAATACGCGCTTCCTGTAAAATTCATGTACCACGCCGTTCATGAATGATTAGACAACGTGATACAATCAAACCTTTCCCACATCGATGAATAGACCTTACACAAAAGCGGGATCAATACACTTATAAGCAAATGCTGCTGCTTGTCCACTATACGAATATCCTGCATGTCTAATTACGCATATGAATAAATAATCCGAGAAAATGAATTAAATAAATCGATAAAAACGTCCATACATTATCTTTACTAATTCTCAATTTTATTATAGGAAAGATACTTGCGGTGCAATTATCGCGCGAGCTCCAGGCACCGGAATAGGAACGTTGTCTTCCGTCAAAGTTGGTACATTTTCTAACCATTGACTAAGCTCCTTGTTTAAACGAGGTCCTTAAAATGACAGACCGATCAAATATTGTGACAGTCTTTGGCGTAAAAGATCATTTGGTTGAATTCTCACCACAAAATACAAAGTTCATTACATAAATTTACCATTATCAGTATACCAAGAACCGGCATGATAAGCTTTTCTACTCATTTTTAATAGTAGCGACGAGTAAAGCGTTAATTTAGAAGAGCGTTACACGGTACTCTTTTAGGAATCTCGCGTAGATGTTACACAGTACCTGACAGCTTTAACTGTGCTACATTGGGACTTCATGTGAGATGTTGGTGCATAAATCGGTCGGCAAATTTTTACTAACGAAATACTAATTTCTAAAAATCGATTCATTTCGTATACAAACTATTTTTTTAAGAAATGTTTGTAGCAAACGATTCGCATAGTATTATAAAAAAAGTTATAGGGTCATAAATTTTTTAAATACAAAAGTAATAATTACTCAAACGGCATTTTTTTTTGTACATCAAATTTTGTACATCAAAATTCTGATTGGTTAATTTTTCTATTAAACAATTTATGTTCGTTAAACATCTATTCAAAATTCTGATTGGTAGATCGACAATTAGATCAAATACGCGTCACTTAAAGATTTCTATTACTTGAGTGATTTTTTATTTTTTTTCTAACAACACAAGCATTTTATTTACTAACTACTATTATTAAGAGTGAGATGACTTATATATTGCTATAATGGACTCTGAGCTTCCTAAATCTGAATATGTTTTTTTTATGTTTGCTAAAGTCTGTGCAGCTATTAAAAGCTATGCAGCAAAAACCAATGCAGTTTTAATTTTAGAAAGTACTTCTATAAATCCTGATGGTAGTGATTACAAGCAGGTTTACTTTGTTTGTAAAAAGCAAAAAAAATATGACAGGAAAAATGAAAAACATATGACCAAATAAATAAGATGTCATTTTGTTGTAAGATTGAATTATTATAAAAGAGTTTAAGAATTTATTATAACAAAATCATGTTTAGAACACAATCATGATCTTAATTTAGATGCTACTAGGTTTAGTACTGTGATGCATAAATTTGATCAATATGATCTTGATTTAATCAAAAAGTTCTATAGTAATAGACTTTGAACAAAAGATATATTTAAAGTATTAAATTCTGTTAACTCAAAATATATCTATAAGCTTAATGTTTATAATGCTATAAGTCAATAACAACAGCACAAGTTCCAGAATTTAAATGAAATTAAGATATTATTTAAAACTTTACAAAATGATAAAAACATCATAGACAATATTATAATGAAAAATATATATAATAATAAGCATGATTAGAATAAAGTATTTATTCAAATTATATTCTGAACATATTATAATGCATTTATACAATTTTAGTAGCAAAAGATGTTCTAATAATTAATATTACATATAAGACAAATCAGTTTTTAATGCCTTTAATTGTTATTTATGCTATTGATTAATTTAGTTTAACATATTCTTTGGTTTTTACTTTTGTCTATTTAGAAACTTATGAATTATGTGTATATAATATTGTATTAACTTGTTTTTTGGACTAATAAAAGTATGTGAATCAAGAATGACATTTATTTATTTATTTATTTTTTTGTTAAAGGCCATACTTGTGGTGATACTTTATTGACTTTATATTAGATTAGCTATTACAACTATTTTTACAAAAATAAGAGTACAGCTAGTTATATATGCAACTTTTAGTTACTTATTTAAGTAGTTCACTCTAAGGTTCTATATTAGATGCTGTACCTATAACCTACTAAGAGATTATCTATTTAAATCCTCTAATCATCTGCTCTGTTATATTGGAATCTTCAACTTACCTTCTGTATATACCTAATCAGTATACTGTCTGAGCAGTATGGTTATCTACCCTTTTTGTACTAGTTCCTAGGCCATTACACATTTCAGAGCATGTCACCTGCCAGTAAGATACAGAGGGCCCCTCATTGTTAACTATCTATCTACTTTTAGAACACTAATATGGGCTACCCTTATAGAGTTCATCCAGACCCTAGTACTGACTTTACAGCATATTTCTAGTACTTTTAGTATACTCCTGCTTTGAACTCAGACTTTTAATTCAAATAGCTTAGAAGAACTATGACCTGTTCTTGGTATATTGAGACCAGCTCAATATTCTTTTTCTCTGGTCTGAAATCTGGCAGCCTGGTTGGTAATACCTCTTATCTGAGGTTCTTGCCTGCCTGAATCCTTCATATTGGTATCTATTTTCTAGGTTTAGCCTTTACAGTAGTACTGTTAAAGATCCATGTTACCTCTCTGCTCAGAATTTTCAAATAGGCTCTGGCTTTTTAGTTCTACAAATTTATATAGCCTAAAGACTTATTTTAGGTTTGCACCATCTGGTACCAGTTTGCATTCTTCTGTATAACAGGTTACATGGATGCCTCAGACCTGCCAGTCATGCTAGTATGATCATATTTACAGAAATCCTATTTTAACTAATTGACAGAATGCTGTCACTATAATACTGTCTATATATTACATAGGTAATTATCCAAATTCCACTGTTAGTGAGTTTTGAACTCACAATCTACCACTTAGAGATATAACAACTTATCTACTTCACTAAGTCATTACACCCTATCTACATGCTCCTTACTCATAAGTCAAATACTAAAGTTAACTATCAAATAGTTTTATTAATTATATTTAGTTTGCAGTATATAAGTGTCAATTATTTATTTTTTTATTTAATTGTATCTTTAACAAATTTATACATAATAAAATAACTATAAATAACCAAGTAAAAGTATATTAAAAAATTGACTATATTAATATTCAAATTACAAAAACATCTAATCATATCCTACTTTGATAAAAAAACATACAAATTATATAATCATAAAATCAAATATAGTAGTAATATTGCTTTTATAAAAAAAAATTTTATCAACAAGCATAATGATGAATGGCTCAGTATTCATAAACATGAATTTATTAGAGGTAGAACTCCAAATAAGAAACATCCAATAAAGAAATATTTTTATAAAAAAAAATGCATTGTATGCAATTATGAATTTTGAGTTAATCCAAAACTTTCAACTATAAAGAAACACTTTGTAGATAACTATAAAACAAATTAAAATATATTTGTTAAAATAAAAAAGTTTATGATTAAGCTATTACAAAGAAAACTCAAACTTAAGTTGTTAAGAAACTGATTATGAATTCTATTGTTCAAATTAAAGAAACAAAAAAGTTAAAACCTAAACTTAAGAATATTGTTTTGAAAAAAAAACTCAAAATAGTTAAAAAATTTTCTAAAAAATCTACTATTGTTAAAGAACAAAAATTAATCTTATTTAATTATGATACTTAAATTATAAATCATCATTTTAACTAATATAATATGCTAAATATGTATCAATATAATATATGTTATAATATAGTTCAACCAGAATTAATTTTTTTGTATATAAAACTTGGATGTAAAAAAAGATTTTTAAATAATTCAAATAAATTTGAAATATTATATAACTCTATGAAATATATAAATAAAGCAATTTTAAACTTAAGTTAACTTATTAAAAAAATGTTTAAAGCAACTTTTACTAAAGCATCATTGTTTAAACATGTTATCAAAATAACAAGAGAGCTTGTTACTAATGTTCACATAGAGTTTACAAAATTTGATATTAACTTTTTAAGTATAAATTCATTACATATTACACTTATCTCTGTCTATTTTAATAAAAAAAGTTTCGAAAGATATGTTTATAATAAAGATAAAACTATTAGAACAAATCTTAATTATCTAAACAAGATGCTTAGTTGTGTAAAGAATAATAATACTCTTATACTTAACTAGAAAATCTAGAATTTCTAAGTGTTTTATATAGAGGTTCTAATAATTCTAATAAAACTGAATACAAAATATAATTACTAGATATTAACTAAAAAAAGATTACTATCCTATCTGCTAATTTTAGTATAATTATTGATATGTCTTTTAATAAGTTAAAAAAGTATTCTTAGACCAAATAGTCATGAGTGAAACAATAAAGATAATTGTAATACAAAATAATAAAATAGTTAAATTTATTTCTAATAGTAATTATAATAATAAATACATCAATACTTTAAATAAAAAAGATAATGATTTAAATAATAAGATCTCAATTATTGCAAAAAATAATATAGATAATTTATTTTTACTTAAAATTTTATTAATGTTTATGAAAGCATCTTCTTTATCACATCATGTACAAATTTGTTTAAAACATAACTTTCTGATTATTATTAAATATATAAATAAACAAAACTATATTTATTACTATCTAGCACCAAAAATAGTTAAAGAATAAACATGTATTTTATTTATATTTCTAGTTAAATAAAACCTAAATTATAAACTAAAAGATATATATTTTAGAGGTTCAAGTACTCTATATTGTATTTTTTACATTTACTTAGAGTTTCTCAAAATCAAATTAAATTAAATATTAGATTGATTTGAATTTGATCAAATCAAATATTTTCTTAATTTGATTTGATTTGATCAAATATTTGAATCAAATATTTGAATTTGATTTGATTTTTAAAAAAATTTAAAATTTTTAAT